TGGTGACCGGCCACCACCTGGACTTAACGAGCCAAGAAGGAGGCATAGGTCAAATTTTGGTGTATCAACCAATTTAAAATACAAAATATCAGACATAAGACTTATCTGGGACTCACAGATTTAAAGGACTGCCAGTGGTCTATGAAAGATCTCATTTACACCTCCATGTGCAGTACCCACTAAACCATGGACCATTCTTCTCCCAGAGCCAACTTTCCACCACTTTCACCAGCTGTTAGTATTCTGGAGCAAATTCAGTGCCAGATCTTAACGATGCTGAGCCTTATGCTACTGTCACCTGTCTGCTCAGGGTATTTCCTTGACAATGGTCTGCAAGACCTCAGTGCTTCAAAAAAGGAGCCAGCTCCATCTTTTAGCTTTAGTAGAAGAGAAATTTGCATTTTGTTTGTGACAAGGACTCTTTTTTTACACTTGACTCCATGGGGATCACAGTAGGAGATTCCAAGGCCACTCCTCTGGTATCCTCCTCTGTATCCCTTAAAGCACTGCCTGTGGACATAGTAATTGCTGAGCATGCAGTGTGGGCTCTCTGCTGCCAGTATGTGTTATAGTAGAGGAAAGAGAGCTCTCCCAGTGTTAGAATGCAGGAAGCTTAGTTACGTTTTCCTTTTTCATGCACAATTGCTGACACTACTCAGTTTAGACAACAAAAGATGTATGACAGATGTTTGACTTTTATCTTTAGAAATCTGAGCATTTCAAAGGAGATAAAAGTTGGAATGTCAGATAATCATGGCTGTGTAAGTGGTTAATTTATCCTGATGAAAGTCCCTTAATTTAAAAACTTCATTGCCTTAAAATGTTTCTATATACACTAGCTTTCATTTTATTTTCTTCCTCAAAAAAAAAAAAATCTGATCAGTGTAGTGCACAACATAACTTGCAATTTCAATGAGTTTTATTTCAAACTTTAGGGAAAAAAAAATCTCATTAATGACTTTCCCAACTTCCAGCTTCTTAAATAAAGGAATTGTGTTCCTCTCTGTACCACAGATTTTCTAATCAGTCTTTCAAAATTCCTTTTCACTAGGGAAAAACAAAACAAAGCACACCTTTCCTGTGTAGTCAAGCAAACACATTTTAGTTTTGATGCTCAGATGAATCCATGTTAGTTATGCATTTTGTTATTACTAAATTTCTTTTGTCTTTTTCAAAGGCTGCAGGAAATGCTGTCAAGCGAGCATCAGACAATCTTGTCAGGGCGGCCCAAAAAGCAGCATTTGGGAAAGCAGAGGATGATGATGTTGTGGTCAAAACAAAGTTTGTGGGTGGCATTGCTCAGGTTGGTACAATCACCCAAGAAGTAAAGAAGTGAAAAACTATCATTGAAATGTAGCATAGTGTTACAATGCCCAACTGCTGTGTTGCAGGCTGGAAAAATCTATGTAGAAATCTGTGATAAATTACTTGATGCCTCACTATTAGGTAACCACTGACATAACACTGAAGTGATATGCTGTAAGATGTCTACGCTTCCTCATCGAGCATCTACCGTAATAGCAGTTACCATTGTCCAATATATTTTATTTTTGTTCTAATGGTTCTTTTCAAACTTCTCTTATATAGCTCAAATATTCCCAAATCTTAATGGAACACTAGTTTTGTATGCATATTGTCAAGGAAATAGAGAGTGAGAGATAAGAACTGATGATATTTTGTTACTGTGACCATAATAAATATGGTGAAATAATAACAATATTTTAAAATAGATTCCAAGGCTTTGAGGTTGTACTAACTTCTGGGTTCACTGTTATGAATGAGGAACACCATATACTGTGGTCACTACCTAAAAGATATTGAAATTTATCATTTCTGCATATCTGTAGTACTGTCATTTTTCCTTTGGCATTTTGAGATGCAGGAAAATACTGTGGATACCTGCAGCAAGGAGTGTTCAGTTTTACTGTCACTCAAACATTGTGCTTATCCTACATGTGCTAACCCCTCACCCTGTGAAGGTTGGGGGAGCACAGCAGTACAAAATCCATCATGGACACATGGTAAAATCAAGCTGCTAGATTCCTTTTTTACTCCTCTTTAAGAAACAAGTGGGAATATGATACTGTTCTTGATGGCCATAGTCCTGGAACCTGGAGAAATTTGAGCAATTCCTGACAAAGTCATTGAAATTTGGTGCTTCTCTGAAGAATGCTCAAGGCCTAGCTCTGACTGGTGTCATAGAGAAAGAAATATTGTTTTACAGACAGTATTACTTGCTCTCTTAATTCATGCTTCTGTTTCCTAGATCATTGCAGCCCAAGAAGAAATGCTGAAGAAGGAAAGAGAGCTCGAAGAGGCAAGGAAAAAACTGGCTCAGATCCGCCAACAGCAATACAAATTTCTACCCACGGAGCTGAGAGAAGATGAGGGTTAACCTGCTGAGATTTTCTTCTTTTTTTTTTCCTTTTTTTTTTTTTTTTTCTTTTTCTTTTGAAGAAATAAGCTAAAGGGGGACAGTACAGTGAGAACTGCTCTGACAACATTCTGGTATGCCAAATAAACTGCCTGTCATAGCTTTGGATGAGCAGAGGGCAATAAACACTTATTCTTTCTCATCTGGTCAGCTGAGGTGCATGATGATCAAATAATGGTACAGTGTTAGGTTCATCATTCCTGTTCCTTCCTTAACTTATATCTCAGGAGAGAATGTTTAACTTTTTACTAAAGATACTAAGTCAGTATTATTGTCACTTTCCTGATGCTTGAGGTATTTATCATTCCTTGAGTTGTTATAAAACATTAATAATATTGATAGGAAAACAGTCAAGAAATCTGTCATATGATAAATATCACTTGAGCTGGTGGTTCTCCCCCAACTACCCTTGTAAAAAGAACAAGATGGAGAAGGATGTATGTCTGATTGGAGAAACAAGCATGAGTGTGGGTTTGAAGAAAATGCCTGTCCTCTTTCAGTGTTATATAGCTGGTTCAGCCCAAAACTGGAGGAATTGTCTTTGCACCTGTTTGCACTAGTAGTATTACTCCTTCCCTGATACCAACAAGCTTCTGCTTGTACAGTATTTCGGTTTACAAAATGTGGCAATAGCCATTTTTTAAAGAGCTTGGAAAACAAAGAAATTGAAACCTTGTCACTGCCTCAATAATAGCAGGTTCATGAAGGAAAATGCTGTTTCAATTATATACCTCTAATGTGTGACTACTTTTACAGTATTATGCACACATACACATGCTCTAACGTTGGACTGAAAAGTTTGCATTTTGTTTTTCAGTTGAAGTTATCTGGTTCGCGCTGTGGGATTTCTGTTAGAATTTATGTTAGTTGAAAAAGGGAAATGCCCAGTACAACAAAAGACTATCATAACTCTTGTTATTCTTTTAATAATTTTGTTTGTTTTGAAACCTGTGGGTATTGTAGGAGAAAAGAATAAGTGATTTACAAGTAGACTTTTCCTGTAATATATTTTTTAAAAATCTGGACTCTAAGGAGTTTGTTTTCATAGTTGGTATTGATGAAAGTGTGTTCACCAAGGAATTGCAGAGAAGGAATAGCAGCAATCTTTGTCTTCAGCTGCAGAAAGGTACGGTATGCTCTCAGTATCTCTGTTGTGACCTAAACAATAGCAATATGGGTAGAGTGAGGAACACATTTTACCCTGTCAAAGAAAGAACACAAATCACAGCAACTTTAACGAGCCAAAGCTAAACTATTTGAGTAACTACAGAAACACCGTCTCTCCTAACAATAATTTCCAGTATGCCTCCAACTCCACTCAAGCCCTCTTAAACATTAATGTCAAGTCTGTTTAGGAAAAAGGATGTTGCCACTCCAGTCCTTCTGAAGGCTGTGCTGTCATTTAGGTACCTGCCAAGTCCATTCAGCTGAGCCTGTTATGTTATATGCATACCCACCTTGTTGTCATTGTTGCAGAAATACTTGTCTTGTAGACTCAAAAGTAACCCCCTAGTGGTAGGCTTACCAGTTTAGATAGTGCTAACTCCTCATTTAAGTTACCTGCATGAGATATAATTATCAGGAATTTTGTCACACTAGTGTTAAATATATAGCAAAAAAATGACTAGAGAATTAATAAATATTCAAGTGTACAAAGATTTTTATTGTTAAGAGTCTCTTCTCTGGTACTGGCATATTTTAGACTCAGAGTTGCTGGAAAAGCCACAATCATGAGAGGATAAAATTGTCAAATCCTAAATGGAATCGCTGGCGTTGACAGATATGCTGTGATGTGTGTGCTTGTGTGCATATGCAAATCCTTACTATCAGAGACATGCAATTCTGAGTTCTGTAATTTTCCATTTCAGCACAATTGATTTGATTATTTTCACTCAACTCGCTGTGAGCAGTGTCACAGAATCTCGATGTTAAGAATTGCTACACCAAAAAAGAGGCTTCCTGTAAATTTTTAGGCAGAAGGCTAAATTGGTGTTTATTGCTGTAAGACCTAAATAAAGACAGCTCTACTGATAGGGACTTTCTGCTGCTGTTGGTAGGTCAGCTTCTTTGCAGCTTATGGCTCAATCTCTTTTTTTACCTAGACAGCCTCCCATTCCCATCTCTGAAAAAGAGAGGTCTGCAAGACAGATTTGTTCCTGCTTCCCTTTCAACCTGTGTTTAACCTATTTTTTGGTCTCATTAAAGCACAAAGAAAGATGATACTGTCCTTAGCACCATGCCAGTATTTTATTTTAGGTCTAATGCAGTTGTAATGGCACAACAGTATTACACTGGTACTTCCCAGTTTGAAAGAGGGCAAAAAGCCTGGTCAAATGCAACTACGTATGGAAATTGTATCGCTAGAAAACTTTATCAGTACGTAGAAAGAAAAAGCATGCTCAAATTGTGTTCCAGATAAATTTGGGAAGTCAATTTTAGCACAGTTATTTTGAGACCTTTCTCTTTCAGACTTAATGCCCCCTCTTATTGGACAGAAAATAGTGTTCTTTTTTCTTCTTAGCTGCGTGTTCCATAGAGGAACCACAGTCAGATGGGTAGCTGAGCTGAACAACTGAAGTATTTTTTTTACTTTGAATTTTGGGTCTTCATTTGGGAAACATTAAGAGACTATAAGCTCATCTAAAGTCTTTCTATTTCAATTTTTTCTTGCTGTTATAATTTGCAGTACCCCTGAAGTCCACAAGTGAACGTCTGTGGAGTTTGGAACTAGTCCATGCATTTATTTGTCATGGAAGCTTGCAGCAGGAAGTGACAAGTTGGAGTAACAGATGGAAGCTAGTTAATAAGAAGGACAGATGTTTACTTTGTTCTGTTAACTTGTGAAATGGTAAACAAGCTCTGTTGTATCTTACCATTCTTCATGTGGAATTCACTTTAAGGAATTGTATGCAAATTAAAAGCAAAATGCCTCAAAGTTGTTTGTGTACAAATAGTCTAGTGTTGTTCCCCCAGTTATTCAGAAAATAATTTGAACGTTTTATATTTGTCTAAACTTTTCTACATCTGAAGCCTTGAAGTAAGAAAAGTTTTAAAACAAAAATTGAAGGCTAGACTCATTTCATCTGTCCCTTTTCTTTTGATTTTCTGCATCTTCATTACTTAATTCCTAATGAAGGGATGAATACATCATCTAGAAGCCTCCTTAATGTAAATATGTTTAGCTCATGAGCACATTTTTGCTTTTAATCAGTGCAGACTGATACAATATTCACCCCAGGAGTATGGCATGTTCCATCACTACGTTTATCTTCCCTACATTTTTTTTTAATCTCTGGGTTTGGATTTCTTTTTTTTCCTGTGCCTTATACTGTAAAAGTTCTGTCCTTATGGAACTGTGTCATTAACAAAGAGAGAGTTATCTGACCATAACTGTCATGATTCCTGAAACTTCCTTTTCCATATTCGCAGTAGTATACATTAAATATATTGTGGTTATGTTAGTGGAACAATGCATTTCTGTGTCACAAAGTTTACGATGCCAAATGCAGAAACTGTTTGAATTACAAGTCTGTTACAAATTGCTGGTTTGCCTAACCATAGTACCTGCAATGAAGGCTGATAATATAGTTCGGAGGTAGACAGATGCAGACTAGATCTGGCTCATGAGCTGCTTTCCTATAATGTGTGAACTCTGTCAATGGGCACAGTGCATCATTCAGCAGAGAGCGATGCAGAGATCCTGGAGTGAGTGTCGCCACGTGCACTGGGTGGAACCACGTGGGTGTACTTCAGCCCAAGAAGCAACATCCCTACTTTGACCACAGTGGTAAGGGGTATGCGCTGCCAAACTCACACTTTGGTCAGTGCTGTGTGGAAGGAGGATCTGGTACTGAGGCACGACACAAGCAGCATTCATTTCTTCAGAGCTGGTAGTTTCAGTAATTCTGGCCGAGCATCCCTTGTGTCAACTGCCTGGTATGGGATTAGGCCCCGAATTTGATACTCCCTAGTCAGAGTCAACAAACTCAACAGTGCAGAGCTTTGTGTGTTTCTGTTTTCAGCCTGCTGCACGTGAGCTATAGAGAGGTCTCCAGAAGGCATGGTAAAGATTGTGCCAAATTCTGTGTAATCTCCCTCTCCACTGCCTGAAGCAGATACTGCAGAAGCATTCTGGGCTGCAATGTTTCAGCACTAGAGAAATTTAACAGCAAGAGAATTGATCTAAACTAGATGTGGCCCAGTTCAAGGGGCAGGCTGAAGCGACCCCGTGTCCTACAGTGTGGGAATGCTACACCTGTAAGAGTGCATATCAGACAACATCATTCATTTTGCCTAAAGATGATTCTCTGTCATCTACTGAGCTTCAAAGAAGTGCTATTTTGTCACTTTTTAAACTTTTTAAAAATAGTGAAGCAGTAGAGACTTCTGTTTTCTGTCTAATTAGTACACTGTTGCGGTAGAAGAATCTTTAGTCCAAGATAGTCTTGTCATTATATACTAGAGCTTTTAGGGGTTTGAACTCTCATTTAATGTCTTCCCTTCCTGTTAAAGTTTTAACCCCAAGAAAGGTATAAAGGAATTTGTCATCATACTGCCACACTTATGTATAGTATTTATCTGGCCCCAAAATTAAATATATATATATTTTTTTTAATCTTCATCAACAATAAGCCCTTGAAGGAATTCCTTTTTTTTCTGCATGTAGGTATTTGTGACTTGTGTTGCACTGGTTGTCATGCAAAGGATCATTTTGCTCCTTAGCAAAATAAGGCAGAAGTTGTATCTGTCTGCAAGGCTGGGAAAAGGCAGAATTCCCAGGTGACAAGAGGAGAAGGTTCTATTTAAAGCTCTGCTGTATAGACGAGACTATGAATGCTTACTTTGTGATATATGTCAGTGACCATTCAATATCCTTAAAATAAAGCACATTAACCACATAAATATATACAAAGGTGAAACAGCAGTTATTCAAGAGTGTTGGATGCTTGGTGGTGTTGGGT